TAACGGTGCACCCGTTTGGCGCGATATCTTCTCCCTTCTGTGCAAACATCGCGTTAAAAACGACCGTGAACAAATTTGCTCAGCACTTCAAAACCCCGGTGGGCTCCTGTGTTGAACATAATTTTTATGTGGACGACTTCCTGGGATCCTTTGACAGCATCGTTGAAGCAGTTCGACACATTAGGCATCTATCCAAGTTACTGCTCATGCGAGGGTTCGAGTTGACCAAGTGGATGTCCAACAGTCGTCATGCAATCGATTGCATCCCAGTTGATGAGCGGGTACCGAGTCTCCGTGAATCGCAGGTGAGTCCGTTACCAACAGATAGAGCACTTGGTGTGCAATNGATGACGTGGAGACGAAGCATAAACAAATGCACAGAGCGATTAGGTATAGTAGGTGTCTCTTGTCTTCCGGGTTGGGTCCCAAAAGACTCCGAAACCGCATGGTTGGAGACACTGACGGTCATGGCTTCGAACTGACAGCAATGGCGATCATGCTGTCACTTCTTATCAGACCAGAATGCTTGAAATTGTATGTATGCACAGTTGGGTTGTGTGCTCTGTGTTGACCATACAGGTTCTCTTTCTTTTCCCGTCCCTAAAAATAGGCTCAATCCCTGTCCTCCTTACACATCCTCACTTATCTTGTATGCAATATGAGTTTGGCAGCGATCAGTGAAGTTCGCTTTACTGCATTACGCTGTGCAATGATGATGATGCACCACCTACGTTGAGTCTGACTGCGCATTATTTTTGATGCACTTCACTCTTCAACAAAACCAGCTAACTCATTTAGCTCATCATCGAGTCCGTTCCTACAGTTCGTGCACGCTGAGTCAGAACTAGTGCTTGAGCTGAGCGCACTTCAAACTGATTACGTTGAGCAGTGGGATCAGATTAGGCGAGCAATGCATTCCGCAACGAATGTTGCTTGTGGGTCTGAGCCTCAAGCCCGGCGGAGACATTGGATATCTGATTAGTCTGTTGTACTGGTGGATCAAAAGCGACGAATTCCGACCTGCCAAGATCAAAACAGGGTTAGTTGCCGTCTGCAATGTCGGATGATGAGGAGCCTCAAGAAGGATCGTGAAAATTGGTGGGCGAAAACAGTTAGTGAAAATGGAAGTAGCAGCTGCATCAGGTATGATCAAAGACTTCCGACTGATACGTAATACGGGAGGTCAGCGAACTGCAGTTAGTGAAACAGTCTGCGATAAGATGGGGCAAGCTATTCACAATAGGGATCAATGACTTGATCGCTGAGCGGAATACTGCAGCGAACAGTTCAGCTAGCCTGCCGCCAGCCAGGTTACTTCATCTGTAACGGGAGCTCCGCGGGCAATCGTACGATACTCCATAAGTTCGATCTTGTATTCAAGCTCTGTAGCGAGGAAAGGCAGTAGGACCGGATGAGCTTCCTCTCACCTTCTTCAAGATGGAGGCTGATAACCTCGTAAGCTCCATTACTACCGTACTGCGCAACATTTGGAAGCAAGGTCGCATTCCATCGCTCTGAAGGGTGTGCCCGAGAAGTTAGTTTCAATGTTACAATCCCTTTATACTAATTACCGAAGCCCTCTCTCCGTTTCTGTCTAACTTCGTCATACATTTAATTCCTGAAACAGGCCTATCCTCGTGCGAAGATAGCGGTATCAATTTGCTCCCAGCGCACAGACTGTCTGATCTGGAGTATACAGACGACATTGTGCTGCTATGTGAAGATCCAGGTAAATTACAAGCTTTTCTGGACAGTTCGGATTCTAGCGTAGCTGAACTTGGGATCCATTTTTCATCTTCAATTTTTGAAATGCTGTTACAAAGTTGAATTGGTCCAGCCCCCAGACTTCTGAAGTGATGGAGGAATTAGATAAATTTTGTCATCCGACTTACGCGTCACGGATGAATTGTCGGCAGACATACAGCATGTTCGGTTGATCTTTACCAGCTTAAGAAGTTCGTGACACCGTCGCGACATTCGGTTGTCTGTGAAGGGTTGAATGTGTTGCATCAGTTCGACCAGTTCTTTACGGTACAGAGACTTGGCCACTACCGGAACAGGATAAATACAGACTGCCGTTGTTCGAATACCGCTGTTTACGTCGCACGAGTCCGGTGGGGATACCGGACGAGTAATACTGAGATTAGATAATCGCAGTCGTCCATTGGAGCAAGTAGTCGACCTCCATAGATCGCACTGGATGGGACATGTGCTGCGCATGTTACCAAATAGATTGTCACAGAGAGCAATGTTTTCCAATGTGGGAAGCGGTTTAAAAAGAGCCAAGGACGGTCAAACTAAGACGTAGAATGAGGGTATGAAATCCTAACGGGGACACTGGGTCACATAGATCCCGTTAGGCTTCCCGGATGGAGACCCCGAGATCATGGTCACCGGTGGTTAGAGACGCTGAGTGATATGGTTGAGTGTCGCAAATATTGACGGTCGTGCATCTACTCATTATTCATTGGATATGAATTCTCCATCTTCCCCCTGAATTTGATTTCAACAGTCTAATCTTCATTCTGCTCTTTTATCCAAGGGGCCGCCAAACTGAAACCAGCACAGTAAAATGCATGGTAATGGTTGTGAAAGCTGAAACTCGTGATTTTAAATAGATCGTATCTTGGGCTGTTTCTGGGATGCAGGCCGTGCGAACCTACGCGGATAGTCGCCGTTTACGTCAAAAACCAAACTACCTGGATGCCATGATACCAAAGAGTGTAGAACAGCACTTGGCCTCAATGCCAAACGCAGTGCACATATTTGTTGCTCGACCCAACTAAGTTCATTCGATTTCTTTCGAAGTGTAAAATACTGCGGGTTCTCTCTGCGGTTGTCTGTTTGTCATTTCAAATAACCTTTCACCCCTTGTGTCACAGCCTGAGTTTAATTGCATTTTTAAGTGAGTAAGAAGAAAATCCTTTCAGGTTGTGTTTAAGGTGCAGGTAATTCAATATTTGTTATGTATTCTTTCTTTTTTCAGTTTCTCTAATTTCGGGTTCCGAGATGCAAGCCAGGGGACGCACACCCAGCGCGAGTGGGAAAGGTATTCGGCGACTGACCCTCTATGTACTTTACCACTCTGCTTACTTTCAGGCTTTAGCTTCGATGATTCACAAACGAGGTTCCAAATTGAGTTGGAGTTTGTTCAATGTCTGGCTAATCCAAACTACTTGAACTGTATGCTTCGTGTAAAAAATGAAATAATTTCGATCTCGTTCCAGTCTTAGCACAACAGGGTTGTTTTGAAAAACCCGCTTTTATCAATTACTTACGTTATCTGCGTTACTGGAAGGAACCCGCCTACTCCCGGTATTTGATGTGAGTTTTTCAGTTGAATCTGGTACTTAACATTTTAAATATTCCAATCGTTTATCACTGGACGAGTAAATGTCTACAAAATACTCAATTTTTTGACTGAAAACAGTCAACGAAAACAGTTGAACTCCCGATAACTGGATGCCGTGGCTTGAGCAAAATGTGATAAGTCACTGTAATCAGCTAAACTCTCTTGATTCCAGCTTTCACGTCGGTTCGTACACTATTCAGAATCATACACCCCATTATATCACTGACCCGGAACTTCCCTATCACGAACCGTTAATAAGCTTACGCAGATGTTCTGCTGTGTCAAGCGATTCAATCTAAACCCTCCGAGCGGTGATAGTCCCATCATCGTCTACTTGTGCGAGGTCTGAAAATGTGCTGTCCACAATCTAGAGACCGCCGTGGTTGGTAACAAATGTGGCCTTTTCTGTACGATGCAACCTGTTGGAGTTATCTTTTTTTGTTGTTCAAACTTTGTGCCACGCCGCAGTCTTTTCCAATTGATCTGATCAATTTTGTTGCATCTGATTCGTATTAATTTATTACTCCTATTTTGTTTTTGTACCCGAAAACACTTCTGTTGTTGTTGCATTCCAACCGAGACGAGGAAGGAGTTTCTATGAACATCTCATAACACAACTGGGGTGTGACTTTTGATGAGGCGCTATGGAATACAATGTGTTGGATGTTAAGACGGACGATCGCCACTTTTTATTACGCGCCACCGTGTGATAAACAGTAGAAGGGGTAAAGCCCAGAATCACAAAGACCTACCAATTGCTTGTGGAAAATGGACAGTCTAAGCCCATGGACTTAGAGGGGTAAACCGCATCAGGCTCCGATAGGTTAAGCGTGGTATTAACGCAACCATCACGACGAGACTGCGCCTTAACATGACGGGATGTCTTACGTGTCTCCATGACCCTGCGAAATATACAGGATGACTCCTCACAGTCGCAGATCCAATCATGCCTGAAAGGTCAATGGGTAGAGGCCAGACGAAGGTCAGTCTCACAAGGCCAGCTGCTTGGGCACCTCCTGGCTTCCTTTGACTACCCACTCGAGCCCCTGGGGAGGTCACTTCAGCAAAAAACAAACAAGAAGAGACAGTTTACCAATCACAACCCCGCGCTAGATGGACGCCGGAGCGGGGGTTCCTGGGGCTTCCTCATGACGGTGGGACAAGTCTTCATACTTCACTTGACAGCTACCTTCCGCCCAAACTAAGCAGCCCCCAGCCAATAAAATGCTATTTCTTCCACGCTCCGCTTGCCTCATTGGGTGCATGAGGCTAAGGCCGAAAAGCGGGCCGTCAACCAACGATGCACTGAA